TTAGGGAATAATTGAAATTTGGTAACTGTTCCTTCAATGGATTCATCTTTACTCCAGTGCCTCATAAACTTCGGTACTACAGGCAGAGTCCTTCACTAAAGTCCAGGTTTTTAGGAAGTTAACAGTTAGTTATTTGGATATATTTTTTCTATTTTTGGTAATCATTTGCAATTCTATCAAAAGTTAATGCACATCAGATGTACCTTTTGGAATAGAGAAAAGACACTATTCGAACAAAAATAACCAGATAAGGTCTACTGGGATGAAGAAGCATCCATACAATTTCAGTAACCATATGATGATTTAAACCCAGAATTAGCATTCTTCAAGTAGATGATATAAAGACAAATATAAAACATTACAGCAACAATATTCAAATTCCGCATGCTACTGGATTAAAACCAGCGCGGCAGTAATGAAACCAACAAATTTATCTAAATCATTACTCCCAAAACCTATCTCCAAATGGTTTCTAATATCATTTATATGTCATAGTTTATAATTTATGTACTTTCCATGTTGTCATTATTTATATAGTAGTCATATAAAAAGTAAAAATAATTTGAGCAAAGAACAAACTTAAGCTGTTTTTCACAACTTCCCAGCGGCAAGTATCACAAACAAATAAAAATTAACCCTAAAAATCCATCATCGCTCCTTAAAATATCAATTATCCAAAAACGCACCTAACCTTTCAAATTCATACAATAAAACAACATGATCGTAAAGAGAGTAATTAGATCAAATGGGTTTCGTTATTATTCCGAAAATACCTGACTCCAAAGAAGTAAACAGATAATTAGACCCAGGAAATAAGGAGAAAGATTCCAAAGCCAAAGAAGGAAAGAAAAAAGGAATGGTACCTTAATGCAGCTTTTGAATTCTGGGTTTTCCCCCTTTCGTGGTCCGCTAACCTTTCCAAGAAGAAAAAAAAGATTAATAAGTCTCAGATTTCGCTATTCTGTCGCTGGGGTCTTTAGGCAAAATTTTCCCTCTTTTCCAGTATCTTATTGGGCATTAGTTAAATGTTTTATCATTTTTTTTATCTTGCTGAATTGATCAAATTATACATCTAAATTTAGTGAATGAATATCTCATCGAACATTTTTACATATACAAAGATATAAATTTAAGATCTTATTTAAATGATATAAAACTACTTAAACTAATCTTAATATTTTATTATTTAATTGTATTGCTTGAGTTGCCTAGTTGGAAATTGACGGATTCTCTTCGTTTTTGGAATTTCTTTATGAATATTTTGACTTGAATTTGGAAATTTATTTTGATTATATTTTTGCGATTGGCCAAGAGGAAATTAGATGTATCTGCGTTATATCTGACTCCGTCAGCGTTAATTATTAAAGTATAGTAATTATATTTAGTTGTTTTTTCAAGATTCAATTCAAAAAAATTTAATTATAAATTACTCATTTAATATCTAGATTATTTACTTAAACTTATAATTTTTTAAAATCATACTTATTTTTTATATTAGTATTTTCGTTCAAAATTTAACTTTAAATTTTGAAAAATTAAAAATTTAGGTACTAAAATGGGTCAAAACAGATAATTTAAGTATTAAATACGCGTCAAGTTTTTAACCGTGGGTACTAAAATGAAACAAATATTAAACATTATGTATGATTTTGAAATTTTTGAAAATTTAAGTACTAAAACACATAATAAATGATAGTTTAGTTACTAAATACGTTGTTTACCCAAACATTAATTATATTTTTAGTGTTCAAATTTTTTATTAAAATAATAGTCTATAATTACATTAGTTCAAATCCTCTGTTAAAAAAGATTTTCTAACAAATATGTAATATGTGACATTAGTCATCTTTTTTCTTATCTTGATTTTTAAGCAAGCAAACACAAAAACAAATAATTTTTTTAAAATTAGCTTATTTTCAGAAAACAAAAATAATCTTAAGTTTTAAATTCTTTGATTTTTAAAAATTATATATTTTAAGTGCATCGATTTTAATTTATAATTTCATTTTTAGTTTTTTGTTAAGTTAAAAATATTAAGTTTCAAAATTTTATTAAAAAATACTTAGATTATTTTTTGATAAGAAAAAATATTTAGATTATGAAAATGAATTTACCTGGAAATGAAATCAAGATCCTAATTTTTAAATTACTTTCAAAATATTTTAATTTCATTTTTATTGACAGTCTGAAAAAAAAAGTTGAGTTCGAAGAATTCGTCAATGGAGGGTAAAGATATTTTTTAACGAATAACCTAAAATAGTTACAGGTATAAATTTAAACAGTTATTTTGAGAAAAAAATTAAATTAGAAAGAAAAACATTTTAAATACTTATTTTTTAAATTAAAAATGGAAAAGAAATATTTTTAACAACAAATGCATCGTTTTTAAGAAAGTTATTGGATTAAAGTCAAACATAAAATTAAAATATTTATGTCTTGTAATTGTTATAAGATAAATACCAATAAAAACTAGTTCTATATAAAAAAAAAAAGTAGCGAAGTTGCTAATCATATGACACCCAAGGTTATACGAAGATAGATATTTACATTAACTGAAAATTAAAAATAATTTTAAAATTTATCATTAATTATATGACAATAATTATAATCGGTATACATCATAATCAATTATTATAGATATTCAATTCAAGGAGCAGTTATATTTGATTGTTCAGCCTCTCTCTCTCTCTCTCTCAGCTTCAAGAAACCTACCATGGTTGACTGTCATATATAGGTTCCAGTAATAGTGCTACTCTGTCCAGCTGCTAACAGCCCAATAACTCAAATATACTCCTTATTTTTCTTCAGGATATCGGATTGTTTATATATGCACAATAAGAAGTATCTGCAAAGGCTTAAAGCAAAAAAAGTCATAATATATGGATTTAGTTTGATAAAAAAAATAGATTAGAGACGTGATAATAGTTTAATTGACTAAAAAATAATTTAGATAATTAAAGCAAAAAACCATAATACAAGTACTTATTTAGTTTAAGCCTTATTTAGAGGATTAATGTATTTTTAATTAAATTTTACATTATATAGAATAGGAAAATTCTACAACGCTCGACGAGTACCGTTAAACATCATTAACGATGAGCACTGCTACGTACCATTAATTTAATTTATAAAAATTTAAAATTCTAAATAACTCAACATATAATTATAAATTAGTTAAAAGTTTAAACGTAAATTATTTAAAATAAAATTTTAATTCATTATTTTCTATTTTTAAAGAAAATTAAATAATTTTTAAAGGTAAATTATAGATTTTTTTTATTGTTAAAAGAAATTGCTCACTTTGCTCTCAATGTCATCCAGTTGCTCACCTTGACCCGGAACCAGCATCATGCCTCTCTGCAATACCATCGATTTCCTGCATGAATGCGAGGATGAGTGCAATTTAGTAAATGCAGGCAATGTTTATAAATGGTTCTGAAATCGGAAAAGGCGGTATATCACCGGCAATGTTTCCATCATTTTCGTATCTCTCCGAGCTCGAATCTCTCCTTGTCCCCTCCACCAAAGTAACAACCAGAAAATGCTAGCATATCAGGCTCAAGTCTGTAATTGAAAATGTTCGAGTCAGATACTAAAAACATGTCTTTGCCGAGCTTGAAATCATATTTAAAAATGTTTCTCTATGGCATGTGTATGAACCAATGTGCTTTTATTGAATACACTTGCACTCAGATGTTCGAACCTGCAGGAATCATTGATGCCTCTGTTGTTCTGAGTTCTGACCATTAAATTTTACATAAACTATCCATGTACTGACACCCGTATCGAATACATTTTCGAACATGAATTCGGGGTATGATTCTCCAATTACGTGGAAAGGCTTTGAAAATAATTGAGGATTTGAGAATACCATAATGTCCAAGAATTTAGAACAAACCTCAGATGAAGTGCAATAAAACGAGTAGCCTTCTCACGCATTTTTCATGACAAGCTTCTGTCCGAGTTCTGCTGAGGGAATTGGGAGGGAAGGGAAAGGAAGGATGGTGGAACTGTGGAAGAGCAAGAAAGGGGTGTGCGGCGGCCCAAGTGGGGAAGCTAGGGAAGGAGAAAAGTATACTAAAAAGGGTAAATTAGAAATTTGTCCCTAAATTACTTTAAATTTAATGATCTCTAATTAGTATTTTATCTAAAATTTAAGGGTCAAAGTAAAAAATAAATAAACTCCTTTTACTAATATGACACGTCAATAAAGGTTTAACGGCCTTTACGATAAGTGACCGATCTTAATTAAAACAAAATAAAAGTGGGTATGAATTGTATTTTTTTGAATCCAATGATCATACGATTTTAAAACTGAAACAAAAATGACCAATTTTGTAGTCTACCCCTTATTTATTTTTTCAATAATAACAATATTACCTTATGATGTCACATTAACATCATATTAAATTTCTAACGACGAGATACAAAATAAAACTTAAAATAAAATTAGGTATATTTTAAAAAAAATAACATTTAGGTATCAAAACTAAACAATAATAATAGTATAAATACTAAACATGAATTTACTCTAAATAAAATTACTAAAAAGCTAAATTACTGGTCAACATGTTGAAAGGATGGACGGAGATGGTGAATGCTTGGGCACAGAGGGACCCTAAGTTATGGGATGATCCGACAAGTTTTAAGCCAGAGAGGTTCGAACAAGGCAAAGAAACGAGTGATCCGATATATAAGTTACTGCCATTCGGGATAAGAAGAAGAGCTTGCCCAGGAATGGCGTTAGCCATACATGTGCTGGGGTCGACATTGGGGCATTGATTCAATGTTTTGAGTGGGAAAGGGTGAGTGATAAGTCAATCGACATAACCGAAGGGCAAGGGATCACCATGCCTAAAGTTGAACCATTGGAAGCCTTGTGCAAAGCAAGTCAGCCCGGTATGAAGCTGCTTGCTTAGTTTCTGAAATTATATGGGATTCGTCAACTTCCTTTTCAGCTTTCTGTAACTCTTCATAAAGAACGCTACCAATGACAGTGCTTTTTCATTCAAATTGCATTTCATGATTTTACCTTTACATTGCAACAACTTACAAGCAAAGAACATTGTTTAAACCATTCCAAAATCTCTGTTCTTCCGGAAGTACAAGTAAAAATTTATTTAAGAAAGGCTGGCAATTGGTAACATCCAAATGATGATCTAACAGCCCTCACTTCGATTGGGCTTGGAAGAAACAAAGACCTGATCATATACATACAAGCAAAACTGTCTTGATCATCATTTAACAGATGAGCCTTTTAATTCTTCTATTTGGTTAAGAATAAGCCCTAAATGAATACCTGATCTTCTTCAAGGGCGGGAATCCAGTCATTTGTTGCTGGGTTGCTTTTGAAAACTGGCTTGTTGGTTGAATTTCCAGCGTCCTGGCCATTTCCCAGCTGAATACCATATTCATTTGCTTCACCCCCTCCTTTCATCACTCTTATAAACCCACTTCCTGTCTGTCATCAATAAGACAAGACACTTCAGGGTTCAGACAAAGCAATATCAGTGTAAGAAGATAAAAGGTCAAGACACAAAAAAAGGAAACCGTGTGATGCTCTTTTTCAATGGAATTCATCTCCCTGTAATATTCTGTCTCCACAAATTCATCTTGTTCCACTGAAACTCCCCCCTCTGAAATCTTCACCTAAGAAATCAAAATACAGAACTGAAACGAAGGGACCCAAAAGAGAGAGGGTAATAAAGAAACTACCCATCCTAGTACTGCCTTGTACTTGTACTTGTACTGACCCCAGATCATCAAAATAAATAAATAAAAGAAAGAAACTAAAACGTTAAGGAATTGTGCGCGTACATGGGACTGAGATTGAAGGGACCGTAACTTGTCGAGTTCGGGTAGCGTTTGGTCGAAGTGTGAAGGGAGATTGGAGGCGGTCGCTGATGCTAAATCCGGTTCACTCCTGTTGGGTTTGGTGGGTCGTTTTGGGACCATCGAATCGAACTGGGCTCTGACTTGATCGGTGATTTGCTGTTGTTGATCAGCGTCCAAAACTTCATCGCTCCGGCTTGGTTTAGTCGCCGTCCATTGGCCCGCCATCTTGATCTTTGTTTTTTCTTTTACCGGTTGTTAGATTGTACGAGAAAGAGGGAGAAGAATAATGACTGTTGATGGTGAAATGGGTCGGCGACCTTAATAAATTTTGAGCGAATATAAAAATCGAAACCGTGGGCTACAAATACTGCTTACATCAACGTTGCCGGCCTGAGTATCTGTCAAATTCCACATTTCTGACTTGGATTTTTGAATGGTATGGTTGGTGTAAGCATTGGATTCGACGAATCAGATTAAATTTAGTTTTATCCTTCACGCTTAATTAAAGAATAAATATTCAAATTATACCATTTCTTTTAAACAAGTGTTTAACATTATAAATATCATTATTTTAGGTATTCAATTATAATGACCGTTGCACGAATTAATTTACCACATTGATTAAAAGAATCATTGTTGTTATTAGAGATCATAAATTCAACCACGAGAGGTGTGCAAATCCAGGTACCCAATTTTTTTTATTTTTCATTTTCAAATTACTAATTTTAAAAAAATATACACAAATTTAAATGTTCGAAACTTCGAATTACATACTCTAATATCCTAACATAAAATTTAATAGTTCAAAATACAAAATATAATAATCCATAATATAAATAATTCATATATATATATATATATAAACTAATCGGGTACTCGGGTAACCGGGTACCCAGAAAAACTAGATTTTGTGACCCGGACCCGACCTGGCCGAATAATTTTTTTTTAGAAAATTACCTGATTTTTTAGGTTCGGGTTGACGGGTCAGCGGGTCGGGTAGTTTTGCACTCCCTTATCAAGCACCAAAGGTTGCAACAAGATTATTGATAGTTCATTATCAAATAATTGAAAATATTTAAAACATATATTACTTTGTAATAATCTTAGATTAATAAAAAATAAGTTTATTCTAAATAAAACCATAATGATCGTTAAATAACTAGTGTGGGTAATTTTAATTTTTTTAAGGAGCTTGGTCTCTTACTTTATCGGTCCATTCGATTTAAGTACTTCTGTCATTAACTTCCGTTAATCTATTAATAAAAGTTTGAGTTGACAGTAAAAATATTCAAAAATATCCACGTGTAATAAATATATATATTATTTAATTAAAAAGTGAGCAATGATACTTAAGGGTTTATGAAAATTAAAGAAAAACAAACCAGTAGAACTCCATATTTATGAAAATAATAACAAAAGTGATGTTACCTGACGATTCAAAAGACAGCAACAAACAACAACTGAGGAATAAAAGAGTACATGATTTTGAGTCTTGAGGAGTGATGGTGGCACGAAAGTGGTGACTGGCGCCCCGATTTGATGAGGATACACAACTAAAGATAGAGGAAGAATTTAAGTTAAAGAAGATGATAACAATAAATTAGGGATTGAGCAATAGAAAAGTTGAGGATATATGATTTTATCGTGACATTTTCTTAAAAAAAATTATAAATTTAGCGTCTATTGCGGCTTTTGAAAGATAAACCCCACTAAAGTACTAGTCTATAGAGACATTTTTGAAAAATACCACGTTTTATCATTATATAGCGATGTTTTTACAAGAAACGATACAAAAAGTAAATGTCTATTACGATGCTCTAATGCAAATGTCGTTAAATTTGACATTTAGTGGCGTTGTTTGTACAAACGTTACGATATGAATAATCTTAAGGTATTTGTGTTGTAAACGTAGCTAAAAATGCAGTTATATACTAAGGATGGTAGACGGATATAATTTTTTGGATTTCACGTTGTATCTTTCGAATAACACAGGTTGACAATTTTAAAAATAATAAATAAAAAATATGTTATTTAAAAGAAATTCCTTTCCCTCACTGTTCGTCCCCACTCACAACCCCCACCCCCGGGCCGCGAATCTTTCTTTAATGGACTCCATTTAAAATTACCTCACCCTCTTTTCTCCATTCCTTCTTGGATTATATTCTTAATTTTTTTCTTCCCCTTTTAATTTCAGTTTTCAATTTCCTTTTTTTGATATTTGATAGTTTGATGGCGAAAGTCTGTCGGTTGGCCAGCAGCAGAAGCGAGCGGTTTCTCGGAAGCTTTGGCTATGAGCACGGCCCAGGTGACACTGCCATTGACGAAGCGGAACTTACCCACCATCCTTTGTCCCCATTCAAATTTTCAATCTACATGGACTGACGCAACAAATTAATCAATTGTAAACGCCCCCAGAATCTCTAAAATATAGCTATTAAGGTTTATTTCCAGATTAAGGATTATTTAGGTTTTAGATGTTAGATTTTCAGGATTAGGAATTTAAGTTTAAAAATTTAAAAATTTTGAGATTTAAGATAATAGTAATAATGATGACAAATCATTAGATGATCAACGACGAATGGATAGTTATTTGACGATGGATGAGTGATTAGAAATGATAGACTACTAGAGTAAAGAGGATTAGAATAATTTTTTTATAATAATTTTTTTATAAATTATGAGATATTTTGTGTAAATTAGAAAATTTTATGATTTTTAAATATAAAAATAACATTTTAAATTTTTTTAAAAAATAAAAATTTTAAAACTAATAAAACCTAACACGTGTCATTTAATGTGATGACATTGATAATAAATGAATTATTATTATTATTTGATGTACCGTGTGAAGATACTAATTTTTTACCCATATCATTATTATTATTATTATTATTATTATTATTATTATTATTATTATCATTATTATTATTATTATCATTATTATCATTATTATTATTATTATCATTATTATTATTATTATTATTATTATTAAATATATTAAATACATATATAAATATTATTAAAAAATAATAATAATTACAGGCCCAATTACAACTGGACCGGCCCAGTTACAAACCAACCAGAACCGGTCCAGATCAAACCAGAAACCCTAAATATTTGGGTTTCCGGTTAGGGTTTCCTAACCCTAATTTAACCGGCCGCCTCAGCTCACAACCGTTGGATCTTGCCAGATCCAACGGTCCAGATTGCCCCAGATGGAAACCCTAGGGTCTGATACCCTAGGGACACGCGGCCGCCGTTGCTATCTCGCCGCCTCCGCCGCTGCCACGTCCCAACCGAAGACTCCAGAAGATAGAATACCAGCCGTCCACGCCATGGCTACTCGGTGAGTCACCACTGGTAGTCCGTGACTCACCGAGACCCATCTTCGGACCGGTCCGACGGCTACAACGGTGGTGGCTATAAAAGCCACCACCCGAACCTGAAAAAAAAAAAAGGAAGAGACAAAAACAGGAGAGACACAGAGACAGAAAAAAAGGAAAGAAAAAGAAACAACAGAAACAGAGAGAGATACAAAAACTACCAACGATCCCAGTCCACAACAACACAGCAAAAACAAAAACAGAAGGAAAAAGAGAGGAGAGAAGCTTACCAAAGAAGCCTTGACCATCGCCGGAAGCGCTAAACATTGCCGGAGAACCGAAAATACCGAAGGTATTTTCATAGATTTACTCCGATTAGGAGTCTTTTTGGGGAAACAAAGGTCGGATTCGGTCTTAGGGTGTTTAGATCTACGTTTTAGGTAAATTTAGGGAATTTCCGACCACCGGAGGCGGTGGTCGGCGGTAGAATTCGCGGCGGCAGATGGCTGCCGGATTCCCTCCGGTGAGGGAATCTAGAGAGAGGCCAGAGAGAATTCTGGCTCTCTCTCTGCTTGAGAGAGAAAAAAAAAAGGAAATGAAATAGCTGGCCCGAAGGGCCAGCCGATTTGGACTTTTATAGTCCTTCCCGAACGACGTCGTTTCGGGAAGGACTATGCGCGTAATTATAAAATAGTTAAACCCCGTCCGCAGTCCTCCGAACTTGTAAACTTTATATTTTAGTCACTAAATTAAATTTATAATATTTTTAATTCAGTCTTCGAATTTGAATTTCTTTTATTTTAGTCCTTCATATTAAAATAATATATTTAGGATAAATTACAGATTTAATCCCTTAATTTTAATAAGTAATATTTTGATCCCTAGTTTATATTTTTAATTTATTTGATTCTAATATCCTAGTTTTAGATAATTTTATTTTAGTCACCAAATAAATAAAATAAGGAAATAACATATTTAATCCCTATAATTTTGATTAATTATGAATTAGATTTTTAATTTTATTTTTATTGTAATTTAATCAGTTATTTTATATGTTTTCATTTATTTTATTGTTTTTAAATATATTGTTTTAGTAGTATTTGTATTTTTATATTGTTAAATATTTTTATATTCAGAAAATATATAATAATAATTTTTAAATATTTATTTTTAATATCGAAGAAAAGGACAGTCTTAATACAACTGGATGTCCTATTCTGATATTTTAAAATAAAAAGTAAACAATATTATTTAAATTAATATTTATCAATATCAAAGAAAAGAGCTGTCTTAAGGCACCTAGAAGTTCTTTTCTGATATTTTTAAATAAATAAATATTTTTTTATAATTTTGAAATAATAGAATTATAAATTAAATATATTTTTGACTTTTTAAAATTTTAATAATAGAGACAATTTATAATTAAAAAAGTACCAATTTTGGGCGTTGTAGGGGTGCTAATCCTTCCCTAAACGTAACCGACCACGAATCCCTTTTTATTATTAAAAAGAACGAATTTTTGGTTATAAACGCAGATCAGTTCATCTTTTAACTGATGTTTTCTTAAAAACTCTGTTAAAAGATAATTTTTAGGTATTCGACCTACCTAACCTAAAAGGCCGATGGCGACTCCCAAATTATTTTCAAAACCATTTATTCACATCAATTTTCCCGCCAAACAAATAAATTCGTGCCCGGACGAAAACCGGTTACGACAGCTTGGCGACTCCGCTGGGGACAGGTCAAACTTTTAAAAATCAATTATAAAATTGTCTCTATTAATTAAAAATTAAAAGTTCATATATTTAATTTTTAATTCTTTCTTTTTAAAATTTTTATATATATATTTATTATTTTCATAATATTTATATGTTTTATTTTTATTTGCAAGTATTTTATTTCATTATTTATTTTTCTGTCGAAGGTTTGAACATTTCTCCTCACACACAACACTTGCATTGCATTACATAAAGCTCTATAATTGAGTTGTCCCTTCTAAGTGGGAGTGAAAGCGACGTCTTC